AATTTTTTAAATTTCAATATGAATATAAATGTTTAATAGGTATTATAGAGCCATGTTAATAAAATGATCCTTTAGCAGATATAAATTGACCTTGAATATCTTACTTAAATTTTAACCTGCTTATAAGATTATATTAATAATTGGAAAAAAATAATTAAAATTAGATATTATTGCTATTGTGTAATCGTTATAGGTATAGTAATCATTTATTTTTTTAAAAAAATACATATTTTTAATGTTCATATTTCCAAATAAATAAATATAAAATGTTTATAAAAGAAGCATCATAAATTTAAGGTTTAAAAAAAAAGTAAAGAGCCAAAAAATTTCACAACAAATATGAATTCATTTTTTTCGCTTAAAATTCTCTATGAAAAATAAAATAAATGTCAGGGATCTGCAGGCCTGGCCCGAAACGGGTAGAAAAATAGTATAATTTTTAAAATGCAGGCAGGGTTTTAAAATGTTTTTAATAATAAAAAATAGCCGGCGTGCGCCGATTCAAAAAAAATAAATTCTGATTTTAGCAATTATTCAGATGAAAAATGTTGGAATATAATGGAGCGGTTAATATTCATTTGCTAATTTTCCTTTGAATTTCAAAATACCACCAAATTATTCAAATAAGAAAATTTTAAAAATCCCTTGCCGGAGCCGCTTTTGAATCTTTTCAAAAAGGTTTCGAAATCCATAAGGTATATCACTCCTTTTTTAAAACTTAAAAACAAACATTTGCTATCACGATAATTCGGTAAAACATCTTGGCCAGAATCATTCACTTAGCCTTCTTCTTAATTTTTTTATATGTTTCCATTTTTTAAATTTAATATATTTGTTCTTTTTTAAATATTTTTCATGTTATATTGTAATAAAGATTTACATGTAAATTATTAATATATAGTTGTTCTTTTTTTCAAATTTGTGAAAAATTCAGGGAGTCACCACTCCTTAATCTTTGGAGCAAATTTATTTTAAAAAATATATATCAAGAGTGTTGTTAAACGAAACGGCTTACTCAATATTTTAGCTAGAAAAATATTGTCTAAATCTCAAGATTTCGCTAATTGATGAGACCTTTGGGCCATCTATGAGCAAAATTTTCAGACTTGAGTAATATTATTCTGGACGAAATATTAATTTAGCCGTTTTTAAAAATAGGCTCAAATCAAGCCGTTTAACAACACTATATCAAGCTGTAGGATTTTTTACCGCTTCTAACGGTATTTTTTTAAATGCCCACTCTCTTCCCCTTGACCACCATTCCCTTTTTTATGTGTTTTTAGCCTTTTCCTCATTCTTTTTGAGGATGATTATTTAGAAACTATATAACTTAAATTTTGTTAATTAACGATAACTCATTATATTGTTTTAATAATTTTGTTATTTGACTAGGTTTAAAAAGATGATGAAATTTTAGGTAAGGCTATATTTTAAAAGGTTTTCCCAATATGCGCAGTGGGTTTTGCATTTTAAATTCCTAAATTAAAATGCAAAACCTACTACGCATGTCTAGAAAACCTATTAAACTATCGCCTTATCAAATTTTAAAATATAAATAAATGAAGTGATACAAATACAACAAATGCCCACTTTCTAGAGGTCTAGCGCAAAATGGACAAAAGATTAAAATCTGTCCACTTTTCAAAGTAGACAGTTGCCCAATATATCAAGGCATTTTTAAATAGTGTTTAATAGGAATTTGATTTAGACTCAAAACTTCTGTCAATTTAGGGAGTTGCCCTAATTATTAAACCCAAATTAGACAGGTTTGACTGTATGTAATTTTTTGTTAAAGCAAAAGAAATAACCCCTTTAAAAAATTTTGGGCGTAAATGGGATGATATTTTATTTCATATAAATCCAAAACTCTGAAAGAAAATTTAATTTATTCTCTACTTTATTGTTATTAAAAACGGCAAACTCAATATTTCACCCAGATATATATTACGCAAGCCTTGAAAATTTTGCATAGAATGAACAAAAGTCTAGACATATATTATCGAAATCTCTAGGCTTAGGCAATATTTTTCTGGCTAAAAAATTGAGTTAGGCGTTTTAAAAAATCGGTTCAAAATGAGTTGTTTAACAACACTGGTTATATACATTAAATTTAAATATTCAGCAATCACTTTGAAAATTTAATGTTGATGATGATGATGTATTTTATTCTATTTTATTATGAAACTTGAAATATTAGCCACTTCCTGACCTTTTTCTTCAAACATTTATTATTCTTTAAATTCATTTTATAAATGTGAAATTCAATCAAGAAAATATAACATTAATTGTTATTCTGGCCACAGGCCGGCCCATATTGTTGATGTTACTAGCAGTTCGGCTCATCAGGAATTTACCTTAAATCATAATAAGCGAGTTAGATCTTTGATTATTAATGAACAGAAAGTGTATTTTTTTAAAATTATATCACTCACACGTCAATGTAACTACCATTTATATCGCTTCTTAAAATAATAAATATATATGTAATGAAAACGAAATCGAACGCTGAAATATTTTGTAGAATTTATGACAGACATCATTAAATTAAATTAAATAATTGCTAACTATTATATTATTAAGAATCATTAAAACTAAGATATCTCTTGTCATTTTTTTACAAATGAGTATAAATTTGACGATTCATAAATAATAATTATTTGAATTTTGATGAAATCTTTTAATTTGTAAAATTTAGTCTTATAAAATTATTATGGGAAGAAGAAAGAAAGAAAGAAAGAAAGAAAGAAAGAAAGAAAGAAAGAAAGAAAGAAAGAAAGAAAGAAAGAAAGAAAGAAAGAAAGAAAGAAAGAAAGAAAGAAAGAAAGAAAGAAAGAAAGAAAGAAAGAAAGAAAGAAAGAAAGAAAGAAAGAAAGAAAGAAAGAAAGAAAGAAAGAAAGAAAGAAAGAAAGAAAGAAAGAAAGAAAGAAAGAAAGAAAGAAAGAAAGAAAGAAAGAAAGAAAGAAAGAAAGAAAGAACCTGGTTCGATTTACTAAACAGCCTAAGAAGTAAAAAAAATTTTTAAAAAACGATATAAAAATACAAAAAAAAACAAACAAAATCGAGAAAATAAATACGAAAAATAACAATACCACCAAATACTTAAAACTAGTGCTGTAAGCATTTCTAAAAAAATCGAACGCGTTCGCGTTCAACGTTAAATATCGAACGCGTTCACGTTCAACCTTCAGATTCTCCATGCTTACGCTAATGTATTAAATAAATTATACTATAGGAGTGGCTGGTTAAAAACTTCAAATATGATAAAGGAAACAGCTGATTTAAAATACCTCTTATTTCTTAAAAAATTTGGATTAATATTAAATAATATTTTTCATTTTCAAATAAATAAAAATAAGAAGATTTTCTAAAATTGAGCTAACGTAAAAAACGAACGCGTTCGTCAAAAAAAAGGAACGTCAAAAATAAAAAGAACGTCGTTCATCATTTTTTCCAAAAAACGAATTCGTTCACTGAACGCGTTCTTTTTCAACATTAGTTATTTTGTACTTAGTTTTTCTGCATGATTATTTTTCTAAATTAATTTTTGGCTCCAGTATTTTCTTTTCTTGGCCTGTATATACTTATGTATTTTTTTTTTGGGGGGGGGGGGAGTTTTCGGTGTGGGTGATATGCTTTTTTTTCCATGCTATAGGATGTGATGGCTATAGCTCAATAAGCCTAAAATTTCTGTGGTCTTAGTTTTTTGGGTAGTTACTTAGGTAGGATTTTTGATCCATCCCACTGCAGTAGTTCCGCTCTCCCATATTCTATTAAATGAGGGCAAATAGGTAGCGATATTGTTATAGGTGCTATTTATTTATTTTTTGGTTTTTCTGCTGTGATATTATCTGGCCCTGGAGCTTTGCTTTTTCTTAGTGTTTTTTTCTTAGTCTTTGTTCACTTGTTATTTCATTTATGGAGAAACCAGTCGACAGGGGGGTGGCGAGGTTTGTAAATATGTTTTGTTGGTAGAGTCTTTCCGTGAGTGATAGACTATCATATAACAATCAAGCCAAAATGCCTTTTGTTAATCCTGGCCAACAATTACTTTTCCATTTCCTAAAACTTACGGAGCTGGTTCCTATTTCTGCGTCATAGTTTCCTTTCTCTCATATCTTTATCATTATCAAAGACCTTTTTCGCTATATAATCTATCTATCACTCCATAGAGTATTTTGTTTCTCTGGAAAAAGAAAAAAATAACCGTTTGTTGTGTGGTGTTCGTTGCTGGATAGTCATAACCCGATTACTGACTAGTTTTTGCCTATTCACTGGAATCTTCACCTATTTTAAACAACTTGTGGTAAAGCCATTTAGCTTTTCCTTATTTTCATGAATAAATTCTAATCTCAATTGATATGAACACATTCTCAATTATTGTTAGTAACTATCAAGGCTTACATTAGATGTTAAACTTAAAATTAGCCACCACCCACCCTTAAAGTAATTAAATTATTTTGGCAGTTCATGGGTATAGGCTTTTGTTTTGCCCATTTCTTTTTGTTGATTAGCCTATAGACGTTTAAGCAACAGTTCTCGGACTGTTGCGCGTACAAGTACGTGCGGCTTGCCCACAAACGTGTGAAGGGCTCCTCATTTTTTTTCTCCCCTTAATTAACTATCCAGTTTGATGGATTTTTGAGGAAAACCTAGCGTAGCTCTGTTGTATCCACAACCAGAGGGCGAAAACGCTTTTATCACGTATCACGTATAACCAATTTCAAAAAAAAATTTAATATGTAAAGTTAACAATTATTTGGAAAAATATTCAAAAATTTTTAAATTAATAAAGAGAAAATCACTCAGAAGCACCCCCCCCCTCTAAGTTTCTGATGAGCGCTTTTAATTTAGCTGTACTGCAACTTGTTATGTTATGAGGTAGATTTTTGTTAATGCCCACTTCTTATAATGTTTTAATTTAAAACTGATGAAATTTTCCATATATTACTAAAATATTAAATATAATTATATTACAACGTTTTTAACAAAATTACCAATAGGGGAGCTTTTTCGGAAGTCTATTTGGCTCAACTTAAAGATGACCACAACGTTAGGGTCGCTATCAAGTGTATCAGTAAAGAGGGGATCAAAGGAAAAGAAGAATCTTTAGACAATGAATTACAAATCTTAAAAATGTAAAAAATTAATTATTTTTTATTGGACATTATTAGCTATAAAAACTAGAAATTTCAAATGTCCTATTTAATAACTTATAAAAAAAATAACAATAAAATCTTTAAATTGTATTTATGTTTAATGATTAAGATACATATAATTGAATTTTATCGCTTCTCAACATGTTTGATTGATTAAAAAAAATTATATTCTTGTAATTTAATTATTTTTTTGTTACAAAAATAACTTTAAAGGCTATACCATCCGAATATCATCAAATTAATAGAAAACCTTGAAGATGATCAAAATTATTATCTAGTCATGGAATTGTAAAGATTATTTTCTCTATACTATATATTTAAATTTTAGCCAAAGTGATTTTTTTTATGATATAATCGGTAAAATACAGCAGTGGTGTTACTAAGAAAGCTTAGAAGGCTTAACATATTTCTTGATTTAAAATTGACTCGTTAGAAGGCTTGTATTAAAATAGCCATCAGTTTACGATATGGTGTGATAAGGAAAAAGCAAAGGGGCTGCTTCCAAAATATTATATGAACCACTTCTATAATATTTGATATAATAGTTGTATTTCAACAGAACATTTCTTTGAACACCCACTAGTCCTAACAAATGACATATTTTTAGAAAGCTTAAATGATAAAGTATTTATGCCACTGATTATTATGTCAATTTAGCCAAATATTACATTGAAGCATTCTTATTCTTTAAGTACTTACTTCAATATAATTGAATATCGAAGTAAATTCTTAGATCATCTACAATTCCCCTCGAAAAATATTTTGGCCTCCATATTTAAAAAAATTTATTTAGTTTATTAAATTTTAATTCACCACCATTAACAATTAAATCTAACTAAATGAAAATACAACAATATTTTTAGGAAAATATTATTTATTTAATTTATACAAATTAATAAACAAGTTGTGAAAAGCTGAGCATAATTATTCATTAAATTTATTGTGGTGAAATTCAAGAAAATTTAATAGGAATCATTTACAATGTCTTTATTAAATGTATTTTAAAGCCACTGTCATTTTAATTTATGAGGTATTATTAATAATAGATCCACTAAATAAGTATTTACATTCAATAAGTACTAATATAGTGGATGCTAAAAATTGTATTGATTCCATAATTAATATATTAAAAAATAAAAGAGGTAATTCTTTTGATTTAATATCTCTTCCCTCAAAAATTATCAAGGATAAGTAAAATGCCTACAAATCTTCAAGATTTTTTAGGATATCAAATTGAAATTTGATTGTGAAAAAGACTTCAATTGGAGTTCTAAAGAATTATTATAAATTATTGATTACTTTTGTAGATCGTTTTTTAAAATGATTTACACAAGATAATTTTAATCTTCTATCATATTTTATTACATTATTCCCCTTGACCCTGATTATTTTATGACCCCATTAGAATCATTATCAAACTTAAATATGGAAACTTTACACGAAATGGCAGAGGGATTATTAGCTGCAGAAGTTAAAGAAATAATTTTGAAAATATCGTAAATATTTTGATATAAAAAATATCATCTTGCATTTAAAGAATTGTATAAATGCTACTAAGCAGCCAGCATCATGTATCAACGGCTTTTTGTGAAACTTCATTATCTACATTAAAGAGAGTTTTATCGAGCACTAGATCATCGATGAAAAATAGACAAATTTAGTATTAAAAGCTTATGGAAAAAAAATAATATAAAATTTAGCTTTTAATTCATTTATGTTAAAATTTAAAAATAAAAATCGTCGTTTACAAATTTTTAATAAAAATAGCAAAAAATTTATACGAGTGATTAACTATTTGTTTTATTTCAAAAAAATATTGGCTCCCTTTATAAAGTTGCCCCCGCTGAAATTCCGGCTACCCCTGAGTATATTTCTAAAATATAGATCTTAGATTTCTAACCCTCAAATATAAAATTACAATATACTTAATTATTGGCACGTAAGTTATTATATTTTACACAATAATTAAAGTATAATTTTGTTTATTATATATAAAAGGGTAACTGGTGGCGAATTATTCGATAGAATTGTGGAAAGAGGCAGTTATAGCGAAAAGGATGCCAGTTTATTGATCAAACAAATACTGGAAGCACTCCAGTATTTACACGATTTAAAGATAGTTCATAGAGACCTAAAAGTTAGAAATTTATTTTGCATTCGACCCTTAAATAACACTATCTTCTATATTATAATTTATTTTCACAATTTATAAAAAAAATTATACAAACTTTGCTAAACAAATACTTATATTGTTTGAGTTGTGTGCATCATTTAGACCCTTTTCAACCTCTTTTTAAATGATCTAATATAATATATAATATAAGTTATTTATGTCACCGCAAGTAAAAGTGTATGAACCTAATATTTAAATTTTTATTAAACTAATAATCATCGCTGAATTACCATTTTTAATTTAAGCCGGAAAATTTGTTGTATTATTCGAGTGAAGAGAATTCCAAAATAATGGTCTCTGATTTCGGTTTATCGCGTTTAGAGTGTAGCGGGGATTTGACCACGGCCTGCGGAACGCCTGGTTATGTAGGTCTAAAAAATTTCTTTTAACTTATTTTAAGCGTATTGCAGGTTTAAAAGTTAAGTATAATTATATGTTAATTTAAGCAGTTTTGTTTTAATTTTTGTTAATTTTTTTTAATATTAACTATTGATTTTCATATCTTAGAGTCGCTATGGCAAAATATTTTATCACAAATCAATTTTTTTCATAATCTTAAATATAAAATATTTTGCCATGTTACTCTTCTACATTTTGGGTTATTAGAAATGAAAATACATCGAATTTCTATGTAAGGCTAGGTCCAATTGTTTTAAAACTTTTAGAAGTTTAATGAAATGTGGTATCTTAAATTTTTGAAATTTTTAAAATTTTCTATAATTATATTTTGGACATGTTTTCATTTTTATATTAAAAAAGATTATAATTTTTTCTATAAAGTTTTAAAAGCGAATTTATTTTTTGATATTTTTAGACTTAACCTATACAGCAAAATGGATCAATTCATCAATATTAATCGTTTATTAAGTTTTTGAAACTTAAATCAAATATAGAGTTCGTTAATCTAAGTTTGAAATCTCTTATTTTAACGAAATCGTATTCTAATATGCATAGAGTATACCTAAAATTTCACACCAATTCGTCAATAATTTTTGTGTATTTTTTATTTTTGGATCTTGTGTTTGATTAATAATAAATTGTGTATAGAATTAATTATAAATAGAGCTTTATATCGATGTTAATATTATATCTTCTGAAATTCATTATTTAAAAACACAAATCAATTACTGACCCTTATATTGAAATAATAATATAACTCCTGAAATCCTTTATTTTTAAACAATTAATAATCATTTATAGATCAAACTTATCCATAACAACTTATAATATAAAGTTAATAATCCTTAAAAATAAAACAAAATATTTATAGACATATCATGTTATGTTAATACATAAGATCTATCCCAAACCTGGCTGGCATGGTCCTTACTCTCGTTGAGAATAGACCATGGCTTAGCCTCATTGACATTTCAGACTTAACTGCGTTACTTTCTTAAGTTATTGAATTGTCATATTCCTCAATCTCATTTTTTTTCATCTCATAAGTCCTCTTCGTTTAATATATTTTCTTCTGTTCAATTCTCTAATAAGCCCTCTTCTAACATATCTTTTTTAGTTCTCTTCCATAATTGATAAATATGATCTATTATCATTTTTCCTTCTATAATTCATAACTTAATGGTCTCAGTAATATTTTAATCCATATTCTATATATCCCCTAGAATAACTTGTTTTCACTTAAAATTGTCATATAGCATACTAAAAAAAAATAGGCCACCATCTTCATAGTTTCATTCGTGGCCTGGCCTTAGATAAACTATATAACAATCCTGCTAGGTATACTTATTCATGGAAGAAATACGATTCCGATAAAATCAGATTTTACAAAATTAAAAAAATGTCTCGCCATAAATGATTTAAGTTTTTTTATTTTTTTAAGTTTGCTAAAAACCCGGATTTTATAAAAACTAGGATTTGCTAAATTCCGGATTTCCTATTAACCCGGATTTGCTAAACTCAATTTTTTTTAGAAAAAAATTTTTAAACTATTTTTATGGGAAAAAGCGCCCGAAGTCTTGCTCCAAAATCCTTACGGCAAAGCCGTTGACGTGTGGTCTATAGGTGTCATATCTTTTATACTGTAAGTTAATTATCTTGATTCTACGCTAAAAAAATTTGAAAAATCAATCAAATAAAAAAAAAATAACCAATATAATATTTGATATTGTTGAGTTTTTAATTTAAGAAAAATTATTTAAATTAAAACCCCTATATCTTGTACATCAAATAACGCTTATCATTTTATTTTAAATATCGTATATTCTATATATACGAGCACAATTTTTAAATATTCTTATCTCATGTTTTTTTTTGGTATGCGATCAGCTTATGCGGTTATCCACCATTTTACGATGACGACGATGCCAATTTATTCGCTCAAATAATTAAAGGTGAATACGAATTCGATTCCCCTTATTGGGATGAAATTAGCTCCTCGGCCAAAAATTTCATTCAACGACTCATTAATGTCGATCCGATAAAGAGGTACACTTGTAGACAAGCCCTAGCCCATCCTTGGTATAAAATAAATATATATTTAAGGAATATTGTTTTTGATTTATTTTATACTTAAGGTTAAAGTTATTTTTATTGTTAAATCGTGTAAAGAATACAAAATATATATTTCTTAATTAGGGGAGACTAGGGGTGTTAGGTATGTTACCGGAGTTAATACGATTCTAGATTTTTATACCCTATAATAGTAAACTATTTGTGGTTAAAATTTTCTCAGTTTAATATATATAATTTTCAATTATGAAGCATTTATAAAAAATTATAAGCACATCCTTCTCCAGTTACGGCTTTTCTATTAAATATTATAAGTAGAGGGGAGACCGGAAATAAGTGGTCATATGGGTTGTCTGGCTACCCCTTCTAATTTCTTATCTATTGGATTTATTTGTCTGAAAATTCACTAAATTATATATTTATGCCATATATCCTCCTACCTAGTTCATTTATTTATTTGATAAAGGTAATAAGCAAATACTTTTAAAAAAAAACGTTTTCGATACTCTATTTGTTTTGTATAGAGAAGAATTTACGCATTCAGATCGTTAATATTTTATATAGATGGAATTCTTACACTTTAAAAGATATATTCACAAAAAATTCGAAATTTATTAATATATAAAGGACCATTTAATAATAATAAATAGAAAGGTAATATGTGGACATGGATCAAGTGGTCATATAAATTATAATGAAATTTTAATAACTTAAGAATATAAGTGACTAATATTCCTTTTTATATATAATATTTAAAATATTTAAATATAAGTTTTTAATACATATAAATAGAAATACAAAGCCAAGACCTGAACCAAAACAAATATCGTTTCAGGTTCAGGTTCGGGTTACAGTTCAGATTTGATTTTGCCAGCTTAAATCTATTTCCAAAACAAAAAGTATTTATCAAAGTATTTGAATTTAATTTCAATTTTTTTTACATAAATAAATAAATTATTTATTAGAATATTAGAAACAGTAAAATTAGGGTTGGTCAACTACCCACACCTCCTGGAACCCGCCCACTTACCTCTGTCTGATGGGGAAAGACCAGATGGGCTTACACACATTTGGTTTAGAAGAAAACACCTTATTTGTGATTTCACTTATCTCTTCCAATCACCCCCCCCCCTCCATTTTTAATATTTTTTTAAAATACATATTTCATTTGTATTGTTTTAAATTGTTTACATTATTTTTTTTTACATGTTATTTTAATATAGTTAAATATATTATGCTATTTTTTAATATATAATTTATAATTTAACAGATATCATTTTATCGAATTATTTACAATCAAAAAAGCTTATGTTTAAAATTGTGCCATCTAGTGGATACATATATATCATATTTTTATTCTTATAAATTTAAACAAAAATGAATAATTTGAACATTTGATATTTTAATTAACTTACATTAAATACTTAAAAAATGAAAAATTGATAATAATTTTAAATAAAAATTAAAACTAATGATTAAACATTATGATTATAGTTAATATGTTATAAATTAAAAAATAGAATTAATATATCTTTTGATATATTTTCTTCCTAAATGGCAAAATTACTAAACAAAACTTATAAACTTGATTTATCCTCGAAAATAAGGATAATTTTTGTATCAAAATCAACTTTTGAAATGTATAACAAAAATATAAATTTTTTAACTAAGCACCTTCAATCATTATTCCCTAAACTATCGATCTTAAAAAAAATTACTCATCCATCAGGCATATTTTATTCTCAAAAACGTCCTTTTAATACCACAAATCCAGTATTGTTTAAAAACTTCTGGTGCCCTCTCTTTTAAAAGAATAAGAACAAAAGATACTACAAATGGAGTTATTAAACATAAAACTCGATTCTAACTCATGGCTTCAGGCAACTCTCCTTAGTAAATCTGGAGGACTAGGCCTAAGATAGGTTATCATACACGATTACTCTTGTTTCCTTCATATCATCAACCAAATCAGTAAAAAATATTATCTCGCAAATTATTACCATCGAGAAAGATAATTTATTAGATGAAGCCTTACATTGTTGGAATATTAATGTCTTACCAAACATAGCCCTGCCAGATTCAACGAAACAAAAAGATTGGGATCAAGGATTGGTATCTCGTTCCTTAGCCTACCTAAACTTGAACGATGATCCCCAATATAAATCCCTCCTAAGAACACTTAATTTTAACAACTCTGGTCATGAATGGTTGGACTCATATCCTATAATTTTAAATAACCAACTAATAGATAACGACTCGTTTCGTTATGCAATCAATTTATGCCTGGGCGTACCTTGTTAAACCAATATACATGCATTAAATGCAATCAATCGGCAGACACGTATGGGAGACACTCCATTGTAAATTTATAACAAAAATCAGCTGACATGATAAAATAAATTCAATAATAGTTTCTTTTTTAAATAAAGCCAATTTTCCTTGTATTTTAGAAACGACATCTTTTTTAGATAAAAAAAACTCATGACAGCAAAACAATCGCACCGTTTTCAATGGGAAGCACTTAATGTGGGATATAACCTGCATTAATCCCATGGCCCCATCTAATAATTTGCATGATCCCCTTAATAGCGCTGAATCTCTAAAAAATCAAAAATACTAGCACCTAATGTGTGAAACCACTTTGTTCCCATAACAGTTACATCAACTTGCTCTTTTGGACAAGCGGCATTAAATCCCTCCAAACCGTCAATTACCCCTGCTGAATTTTTATTAAAAGATAAAAATGTCTTAATAAGTTCTTTCTTGCCTATTTCGATTGAGTTAGATTTTATATGAGCGGGAAGATCCCCAGAAAAAGCCTGAAGATGCAATTCTTTTAATGGAGTAAAAGCATGTTCATGAAGGGGGACAATTTTCCATTAGATGAAGTTAATTTGAGAGCTCCACATACGTCCCCTTGTCTATTTTTTTGAGATTATGTTACATTTATGGGCAAAATCAGAAGTAGCCCTTACATCAGGCACATAATTTTTCATTTCTAAGTCATATAAATGGTCTATTCTATTTTTAATTTAATCATGTAAAGAAGTTTTTTTTATCTGTAGGTTTAATTAAGACTTTAAAAGGAAAGGTTAAAAGATTTTCCCATGCTGGGGATTTAAATTTGAATTAACTTCCATTATAAGTGTTGTTAAAAAATTGAAATTAAACACCTAGATTTAAAAGGTATCAAGGTTAAATTTTATCCCAAAAGCGACTCATACTTTTATCCTTTAATCCCTTCATATTATCCACTAATCTAAGAATTTATCCCCAACCTATCTCTAAAAAAATCTTAATAAATAAAAATAAACTTTATCAATTAAGCCTTAATTCACCTTATCCTTCATCTTAACAAATTGTCGAATATTGGAATCGTTTAAATTGAATTGTTTAATGGAATATATTTATTTTTAAATAAGTTTAGAGAATGCCTTAGAGAACCATTTTGTAATTTTAAATAAAAACTCTCGAATTGGGAAAAATTAGATATAAAACTTTCAAATTTTATTTCAATTCCCAAAAATTTTTATATTTTTCTATCTATTTAAATCCACCTTGACAAGATCTCATACACCCTTTGTGATTCTAAGGATCGCTATAAAGTTTGATTTAACAATACTTTTTGGTTTTTATTATAAATATATTCTCATAAAACATATAGGATTGCAGAGGGAGCGGCATCAACTAAAGATATACACGAGCAAGTATTCCCAATAATGAGGAAAAATTTTGCTAAAACACATTGGAAAGTAAAAAAAAATTACCAATTACTATTTTAATTTTCTTATATTTTTAGTTATCTTTCAAGACTTTCTATAATATACAATTGTATTAACTTCACTTTATATAAGATTTTAAAATATAAAATATTTGATATTATTTTAAAAAATCGCTTAATCCAAAGAAGGCTTTCAATGCGACGGTCGTGATTAGGCAAATGAAAAAGCTGGCCATTAGCTCACAAGCACTTCACGGAAATTGAAGACTATTATATTTTTCCAAATTTATTACAATATATTTTTATTTCATAACATAAACTCTGCATTCCAAATTATTTATTATAAATATTATAATTTATTTTATATTTATATTAGCAAGTCATTTATATATTTTTTTAAATATAAATATTGTCACATAGATTTATGTGATAATTATTAAAATAACATTTTATTTATCATAAAAATTGATTTTCAACTATTTAGATTTGAGAAAATATTTCAATGTAGTGATCGATATTTTTAATCAGATAGGATAGGGCCATATTTCCATTTTTTAAATATCAATTATTGTTCGATATTATTAAATTTTCCTATGCGATAAAATTTCATCTTAATTTAAAAATTTTACAGTATTTTATATTATTTTTTTAATTTAAAAAAAATGTGTTAATTGCTAAAAACATTTTTATATAACTGTATAAGTTATAAAAAAGACACTAAACAAATTAAAAATATGCTAAAAAAATAAAATGCAAAATATATTTTATAAGAATCTTTTTTGCTTTAATAAGCTAAATAAATAATTTTTTAAAAAAAATTGTAACGATTAGACTGGATGGGATTATAATTTCTACACGTATTGATATATATAAGTGATATAAATAGCCCAAAATAATAGATTTACTAAAATTTGATAATATATTTTAAATGACTTATGTCACAGTATTCATAGAGTTAATTATTAATTTTTTTTTAAAATTAGATGACTACATTGAAAAATGAAAATTTATTTAAATATCTAAAACGAACGAATTCAGATTAGTTATATCGGATCCGGTAATTGGCCGATATCAGTATAATTAGATCGACCTCCAAAAAGGAGTATTGATACACCTCAAAAAGTATTTATTTTTTAATGATTAATGGAAAAAACGGTAGTTTTATAACTTGTGTTGTCAAGGAACGGTTGAATTACTTTGCACACTCAAGAAGTGGCAAAATTATAAGCTTTTAGGAGAAAAAATAAATTTTTAGATTTTTTGAAAAGAATATTTATAAAAGAATTTATGAAACTTTAAAATTTGCCCAGGTCCGATTCCAATCCTAATCCAATAAAGATTTTGTCCTAATCCAACCTGGCCTGAATGAATTAAAAATTAAGGCCTGGCCTGACCGATTTTGAAGGAATTTCTGCCCAAGTATCAGTTATCTAAGTTCGGTCAAATTTGACAGATCCGTTTAAAACTATATTAAATTTGATTTTAGAAATTGACCAAAAAAACAGTTTTACACTTTATAATAAAAAAACAGCATTTTGATTTTCCATATTTAAAATAATATTTCATTTTTAAAAAAATAAATTAAAAAATATTCAATAAATACACATTTAAAAAATATATATAGTGAATAAAAATAATTTTAAAATTAAAAAAAAATAGGTCCTATATTTTTTTTAAAAAAAACTTGGTAATAAATATAATTGAGATCTAAGTAATGAGAATAAATTATTGCATCTTTTGTTTAAGAATTTGATTTATTTTATCGGTTATCGATTTTGTATCCAAAAATCTATCTATTTTGATATATATCTCATTCCGCAAATTCAAGATCTGAATCCATTCTGGAGCCACTTGCCTTAGGGCATCTAGATAGGGTCGAATATTATCACAGTCACCTTAATAATATTTTAATAAATGTATTAATAAAAAATTTACTCCTCACTAATTCGGAAATCATTTATTAAACAATTTTTTTTTAATTTAAAAGTTTTATATACCTATTCTATAAATTTTAGACAGTCAATTTATATTAATTAAAAATGCCTCTCAAAGGATCACCTGCATCTCAACACGCTTACCCAATATGTCGTTTTTAATTTATATTCAAAACTCTGATTCAGAAAACAAGTGCTTCATTTTAATTTAGAATACACCTACCTTATGAATTTCGGACAATTTTGCCACCACCCTCCTTTCGTTCTTTTTCTATTCTCATGTTCCTAGTTTATGTTAAATTTTTAGTAAATGCGATTTATTTAAGCGATGCGAAATTAATCACTACTGATTCGTCATAGCTAAAATTTTGAAATATACATAAACCGTTGTCGCGATTTCGTCATTTCGCTTTTTATTTATAAATTACACGTATTATTGGCTTGCTTTTGTAAATTGGACTTCGATTAATTTAACATCACTTGAGCAAATCGGGCTTACTATAAATGATGCAACACATAAATGCTGTTGATCAAGTTAAGTCTGCAAAAAACGAGCGAACCTAAACTGAACTGGGGCCCTATTTAAAATAACATTGGGCTACACAATTTGTTCGATTTTTTTTGGTCGGACTTTGCAGACCTCTAACTCACTATAAAGGGCTTAGTTTATCAAATTAAAATTAAGACAAGTTATTTTAGAGCTCTGTAAGTCGGCTAAAATTTTTAAAATATTTCGGGCTGTGTCTAGGCTTAAAATTTTTTTTCTGGGCTTAAAAAATATTAAAAATAATTATAACATGAAAAATAATTTTTACTATTGTTATTACTATAAAAAATTTAGCTTATCTATGATAAAGACAAAGCAAATAGCGATTTTTATCTCATAAAAATAGGTTTAATTTATAATTTTTTAATCATAAATTTTGGGCTGAAGCTCAGGCCTAAAATAAAAATATGGGCTAACCAAAAATTAATTTGCAAGGCTTAAGTTATTTATTCTTTATATATAAATAAAATAGTGGAAAATTAGGGATCATTATATATATACCTGAATTTTCGATTAAAGCCTTATAGCTTTCTTTGATTTTTTTGTTAACCATTTGAAGGGATAGAGCATTTTTATTTTCTGCTACAAAAAAATTCTTCAGGATGCGCAAAAACTCTGGCAGTTTGGCCAATACCTTTATATAATTCTCTTCACCATCATCCCTTGTCATTTTCATCATGTGTTTATGGGCTTCTTTAGCCCTGACCTATATTTAAATGAATAAAGAGTTATATTGGTAAGTTATCTTAGGATTGTTAAAAGGTTTATATACTCTTTTTTTTTATTTAACTAACAATAAACACAAATTGAATGACTTAAAATTAAATAGGTTGTTGAGAATGGAACGAATTATGAAGAAAAAAAATCTTATCATAAATGCATTTAAGTAGCGTTTTCCTAATGAATAATATATTATGAATTCTTAGCAGTTGTTAAGGTAGTGTCTACATTATTTTTATAGCTATAAGCTAATAGAGCACTCTTTTTTGAGAGGAAAATCTAAGGTTATTTGCAGAAAAAAATCACCACTTAATTACTCGTTCTGTAGCATAGCTTAATTAAAACCTACAAAATAAGAATTCCCACAATATATATACACTGAATTTAGAACTCCCATTTGATGGGAGAGCAACTCAACTTGAAAGGCCTCCACTTAGTATGTGTAATAGGTGGGCTTTCAAATAAATCTTCTACACAGTAAATATTTTAAAGGTCATTTACACATGTTCCAGTGCTATAAACTAAATACTTACCAGGGTTTCAATTTTTTTATCAGTAACTTGAACAAACTCAGGCAAAATATAACAGTTTTAAAATAATGCAGAATCTCTAAATACATTTTTTAATAATATAAGAGACTCAACAGCAGCATTGTTGTGTTAGTGCCTCTGTCAAAAAATGTCCCATTCCATAAAATTTCTCATATTAATTGGAAAAAACACAAAGCTACATTTATTAATTTTCAACAGGGGGTTATATGAATATACTTTTAAAATGAAAATGTGACATTATATGACAGATGTGAAATGCCAGCAAATACTCAATATCCATTTTGATTATAAGCACTATTCATATTAGTTATCTGCATCGGGATTAATTTTTCAAGCCCAGCTCAGCCCGAAATTTTTTTAAAAAGGTTACCGGCCCGGCCTGAACCCGAAATTTTTTTAAAAAATTTACCGGCCTGGCCAGGCCCGAATTTATTTAAATATAGAAATTAATTTTTATAATTACTTAAAATAAATGAAATATGTTATATAGCGTTTAGTTTCAATAAATTAAATCAAAAATTTTTATTTTACATAAAAAATTCAATATAAAATTGATAAATTTAGCTATATTTAATAAAATTTCCAAGGTCCAACCCAACACGGCCTGAAATTTTTTTAATAATATTAAGCACGGCCTGAACCCACATATTTTAAATAGAATTAGACCCGAGTCAAGCCCAATGCCCGTTTGGGTTGGGATGGACGGCCAGGTACGGGCCTAACTTTGCAGATCTCTAATTCTTATGGCCAATTGTGGCAATCTGACAGAAGTCGCTGGCTCACATATTTCCCTCTATCATCATGACGAGTATTTCCTTTCCTTATCATGACAATCCCAAGAAGTATTTCTCTCATGATATAGGGTAATCTTCCACAGAATACAACATAGCTAACATTCCTCTAAAAATTTTAACACAAACGTGAATGGCCACTGTGGATAACTGATAATCTACAAATATTTTTAGTAGAAAAAGGTTCTCAACAAATTGAGAATTTTAATTTACACTAAACCAAAATAGTAGACATTTTCTGCATCATTTGCAAAAACTTTCCAATAATCAATTAGTCTATCAGCACTGGCTATAAAAAGTTGCAATAATCTTGTAAACTTCTTTCAAATTTAACAAACAAATTTTCAAATTAATGCTAAAATGACTGGAAAGTCATCACAAAAATTTATCAAATAAGATAAAGTAAATGTATATTTTTAAGAGGCCACCAAATTGGCAGGGCCAGGCTAATTTGCATAGATTATTTAAGAAGTTTAATAGAGGATTTCACAAAAAAGATTGTGGAACACCATACTCATTTAAAAGATAATTTGATAAAGTTTTAAAATAACAAATAAATAATACCAATTGAATCAAACTAGGTGATAATCCTTTCAAGTGTGGAGATTCTGGCATTTTAGGCAAATAATTGTCATAATCAAAATTGGCATCTTTTTGACTATCATTTTTAGGCCTATCAATAATTTCCATACCCAAGTCATTGGCATAAAAATTGAATGACTTTTTGATACTTAATTTATTACCATTATTTGAAGAGTTGATATTATTATTAGTAGGAGTTTTTTCTAAATTTGCCAAAATACTATTTAATGATTTTGCACTTGATTTGTTAGGTGTCTTGTTAACATTGTATCG